CAGTTTTGCTCATTTAGTGTATTGAATTATTACAGGTGGTGTGGGTACTAAACTTGGTATCTATCTTCTGGTGAAGCAATTGTTGAAACACAGCGGGGAAGATAACAATCACTACCAGCGGCGCTTTATACGTTTCGGTGACCGGCAGCGCCTGTGGAGTACTGCGCCTAAGAACCCTACCTGCATGAGCTACATCTTTTGGAGAGTTCAGACGCCAATGAAGCGATGTTCTTGTCATTGATATACCACCAATCATCGGCGGCAGAAAATAAAACCCTGTATATTTGAAACTGGTGCCCCTAAGCCGCGTGTTTTGGAAATTCCAAGGAGGCATCCAAGTGATTGAAGTTCCAGCATCCATCAGAGAGTTGAGAGACCCCAAGGTGTCACAGCGGTCGCCGGTCACGACTGCCAATTCGTGTAGTTGGCTGTTGGTGTTTGGATGTGTGGGCCCACTGAATCCTTGTCAGGGTGGTTCCTCGTGGTTTTAGGAGGGTTCTAACATATAATATGTGCATTGTACAGTAAATAGCGTATATGCGTTCTGTTATATATTTAGGTTTATTTTAGTTTCACTGGGTTTTATAACGGCGTAAGAGTGGGAACTTGTGTAATAAAAATTTAAGAACCAGTTTTTAGAAATTCATTATTTTACCTTAACTAATTTTTTAGGTTTCTTCACTATCAAGTCCGAAATAGGCGGCGATAGCTAATATATGTTGATGATCTCCCCTAACATTATCTCTAATAATTTTTACATCAGTATCTCGGCCTGTTTACTTTATTCCAATGCAATGAATATCACCGCGAATTTGCAGTTAATTGGCCGTGAAATGAGTTCATTCCCAGCATTGCATTGGGCTTGCTCGCAATGTAGCGCAACCTAAATAACTGTCCTTTTTCCTTTTCCGGGTAAAGAAGACTTTAGATATAATATAATAATACCGCCCATCACTAATAAGCCACACACCACATAATATATTCTATTAGAACTTCTCATAGGCCGATGTATTGGATTCACAACAAAATGTCTACTTGTTTTATTAGTAATGTAAGGATATATTTATACAGGAGATATACCAGCATTCAGACTTTGTTCAGAGGTACTAGTAATAAGTAATCTGGTGGATTAAAACAGAAAATATACTATAAAAAAATTAAATGTATTGAGAGATATGTTATATTTTTAAGTGTATAGTCAAGTGAGTAACTAAGTCATAAATTTTAAACTAAAATAAATAATATAATCCTTTGAAAGCTTCCGCGTAAGCCTGGCAAATCTGCTTGCGTTGCTAAACGAGGAAATCGGATCGCGTTGCCTCGGAGGTCTTGGGGAATAATTCACCTGCCGAACCTGAGACCTGAAACTCGTCCAGTTTATAAAGTCCTCTAGATAATAGATGATGAAAAAAGACAAGTCCTCCAGAAAATAGATGGTGAAAAAAAGGCATCCAGTAAATAGATCATGAAAAAGAAAAGTCCTCCAGAAAAAAAGATGGTGAAAAAGAAAAGGCCTCCAGTAAATAGACCATTAAAAGAAAAGTCTTCCAGAAAATAGATGGAGGCTTCCAGTAAATAGATGGTGAAAAAAGAAAAGCCCTCCAGAAAATAGATAATGAGAAAAAAGTCCTCCCGCAAATAAATCAAATAGAGATGTGAAATGTAGCTTGAAGTTCTCAGGAGAACATTGTACATTCAGTAAATATAAATACATATACATATGTGCGAATTTTGACCGAATTAAATTTTTTTGAATTAAACTTCAAATAAGAAGGATGTGGTCAGAAATGTTACTGTACACGCGTTACATGAAGTTAATAACTACTTTAATCCAAAAGTAGGGCCAAGCATATGCCATTAAACGCTAGCTTAGATTAATAAGATAGTTTACATTTTAATAACGCGATTAAAAAATACTTCACTAAGATCCATGACAGGAAAATTCTCGATATCTTTTAATTTTCAACAAAATTTTATAGCTTTGGGCATAGTAAGATTCTCTGTTTATAATAATTCTTTCAAGAAACCCCAATTAACGGCACAGCCTCAGGGAATTCATAATTAAGGTGACAATAAAACATAATTCACATGATTTCTTCCAGCGAAGGCTATGAGAAATAATTTCATGCTGCTGTCATGCTCCCGGATTTGATAGACGTCTTGCGTCTTTTATTTTTGTATTGAGTGTCATTTTTCAACAAAGCCGGCGCGTGAACAAAGCGGAAACATCTGAAAACCGAGTGTTTATAGCTACTGTGTATGCTTACTATGTGACTAGAGCAGTAAAAAGAAGTTTCTTGAAGGCAGCAATAATTTAATCTTACTGTATATTATGGTTGATGGTGGTACTACATTACTTTTATTATTAGAAAACTCATTGACAGTGGCAGTTAATCCTCCTGGAAAGAAATTCAATTAATTCTCACATATTACATAGAAGCCAAGTGGCTTTTATTTTATACTTAGAAAATTAATTAAAAAGGTCTTGTTACATATGTGTCGTTTCCATGATTTTTTTTTTCGTTTACAAGTACTGAATCTAAAATATTGACTAATCATCAGAAAAATATCATCGTTCAGGAGACAGAATAAATTTCCCCAAGTGCAGGCAAATCAGAAAACTCTGGCAAGAAGCTCCCGAGTAGAAATGCAGCGCTTGGCCGCGGTGATGTAGAGATGTGACAGAAACTCTGAGGCGCGTCCGTGTGAAGTGTGTCACTATAAGAGCAGTTCCTTCAGCGAGCGAAAAATTATAATATTCCCGCAAAAAGCATTTGTGTTCTTTTGTTGTTGCACGAATAATAATCGCATCGCTGACATAACGTTGTTACAAAGATAACAAAGAAAATTCCCGCAAATATTCAAGACAGTCGGTGGAAATGAATTGCTCGCTATTCCACAATTTTTTTTTGTAAATTTGCTGTATTAACTCTTTGCGTTCTATTTCAAGCATCAGTGGCATGCTGCACAGTCGTGTAAAGATCATGAACATGTCTAATGCATTAAAAATATTGCAATTTATTTCCTAGAGGGCTAAGAAATCATGCTGATGGCCAACGGTTTAGAGAATAACTTTTAAATGCATCTGTCGGTTCTTCAATGAGGAACATTTCAAGCAAGGTAGCAGTTGGTATTGGCTTTCAGTGTAATTACAATTAGCCACGTTCTAATATAGGCGTGCACGAGGCAGCCTTTAAAGCCATCGCGTAGGTTAATTAATGATTGCTTTGTGATTTCGGACAGGTCATTTTATTTCGTCATATCGCTACATTTGCTATCTTTTTTGAACTTGATTGGCTGATTGTTTGCACATTGCTCATTAGAGATTTCCTACCCAAGACCCAAGTCTTGGGCAGCGCAGGTGCCCAGAACCGCTGAGTAGGAATCGCTGAAGTCTCGGATCACGCCTGTAAATTAAGCAGAGACTGGCGTAAAATAGAAAAACAGACCAAACAGAATAGAATCCTGATGGAATAACTAAGGAGACAATCTTCCGAACCAGTTTCCTTCAGCGTATGCGCAAAGTTCTTCTTATTCATAAAAATCAAAAGAGATTCCTTGACACATCCCATAAGATTCCTTGGAACATCTACGACGATCGAAACATTAAAATTATCTCAAGAGAAAATATAGTGCAGTACGATCAATTTCAGGCAGCATTGCTCATTTACCATTTCATTCACATTCACATGATTAGTAGCTCGAGGTGGAAGATGTGGTCAGAGTGCCCAAAGCGTCTTTTCGTTCTCCGTTGATTCAGCTGCTTTAAAGAAAATAATTACGCCGTGAAGCTAAGTCAATCTTATATTTGCACTGGTATCACCGCACTCAAATAGAGTAGCATTACATACGAGACCGTAAAACGTTTGTGAGAGCCAACCTTAGCACCACATCACACCTGTTCTAGAAAGCGTCTCGAGCAGACTTCAGTCCTTAATAGAGCTCGGGTTAAGGTGTTTTTTAAGTGAATTCATCACGTATTCACTAATTTTTGTTTATAATTTTTTAAATGAAATTATCTTGGTGTAGTCGTGAAGAAAATAATTAACGTTGTAAATCTATATTCAAAAAATTTCATACAAGGAAAAACTAGGTGCGACGGTATAAATTGGCATTATCAGCATGGCTTCCACATCTGAAGCGGCTGACAGCCCAGCGTCTATAACTCACAAAGACGACCGAACTACAAGAGTTCTCGTTGGTCCTAATCAAGCTCGGGATTATCACACAAATGTGGATACGGAGGAGCGTCGTTGCATTTCTCCGTCGCAACGAAGTCTCCTCGACAAAGATTGGAGCTGGGTGGTCCTCATACTGGCTTTCTACATTCAAGTTAGTACATCATAGTTAACGCCCTCATAATTTCCAGGACTTCTACGACATTAATTCTAAAGGTAAAGTTATATAATGCTCGAATTGATACGAAAATCTAATAAGTTCAAGTTTCCAGCCTGGTCTGTATTGTGATCTTTACTATTTCGCCCATCACTTGGATGCACGATTCATTGCATCCATAGTTTATCCAAGGTGTTCATGGGACATTATTTTTTTTATGGAGAAAAACCCCGCATATATGGTCTGATCACGAAGTTTTATCTTATAACTCGAATACAACCACTCGCAAATGCATAGGTAGGTAGTTTCCGATGCATAGGTTTCCGATGTTCCGACACAAGCTCCTCTGTTGGTCTGGAGTTTTAGTACAGAAAATAATTTGAACCGCTGAAGACCTGATCAGTCTTTATCGAAATCACGGTTTAAACTCAGGTTCATCCTCAAAAACTTAAAGACCAATATATTTTATCATTGGTTGTGTTAGAAGGTTACATGAATTTTACGAAGTGGACACAACCATACCAGTTACACAAATTGATTACGGTCATAGCATAGCAGACTTAAACCGCGCGCATAATGGCCTTTTCTGTGCATCAATGAACAATGCATAAATTCAAGGATCAGACATTCTTTCCAGTAATGGTTTTTGATTTTCATATTTTAAATACATTTAAAATTCAGACCGCAAGCCGTTAGAAAGTTTAATATTGAACATACGCAATTTACAAACAAGACTTACTTATATCACGTTTAGGTTTTCGTAAACTTCTTGACGCCATGCTTTGGCGTATTCTTCAGCCAAAAAATGGCTTCGTTCTCCGCCTCATCATCGCTGAGCAGCGGCATTTTCACGTTGCACATTTTCTTCTTCGACCTCGGCTCGCTAATTTGCCCGGACATCGCCTCCAAGCTCGGCCACAGAAGCACGACCTTCGCCGCTCTCGTCACGGCCTTCTTCTCCTTCGTCCTGCTGGCGCTCTGTGACGGCCTGGAAGTCATTTTCGTTTCGTATGGCGTAGTACTTGGTGAGACTTAAAATTTTCCTTTCAAATTTTCTGTAGATTCTAAAATGTTTAGCTTCTCAATTCATTTCATCACCCATGCACACATAGGTTCATATATGATAGCGTATATTGTAAGATCAATCATTATATCCTGAAGAACTCTTCAATACCGGTCAGATATGTGGAATAGTTCCACATCCGACTGACGTCTCAGTTCTCTACCACCTAAAAAGCCACGTCTTTCTTCGGCTCCCCTACAGCGCTGAGCGGAGGCATCCTGTTCAATGTTACATTGCTGATGGTGCCGATGTACTTTGAAAAGCACCGAAGACCCGCGCTTTCGTGCATCTCAGTTGGCATGGGGGCCTCGGGCGTGATCTCCCCGCACCTCGTGCGATACCTCATAGACTTTTACGGCTACTCGGGAGGCTTGCTGCTCTACGGCGCCTGCTTCCTGCAGGGCTGCGTGCTCGTCGTCCTAGTGAGGCCAGCACCAAAGCCTATCGTAGAAGTCCCTGAAGACGCTGAGTACGAAGATCTGAGTCTTGTTGATGACGTTGCAAGTGCTAAGAATTGCTTTTCATTTATTTGTCATTTTTGTGCTAATTTCAATTTTAAATTGGAACTCTGGTTGAAAGAAAAATGTATGACCATGAGAAACGAAAGAGTGTTATTAATGTCAATAACACGCGGATTCTTTCATACAAGCTACTTTAATTTTTATGTCTTTCTACCGTTCACGCTCGAAAATGAAGGATACTCGCCCCAGTTTTCAGCTCAATGCATATCGAACAGTTCTATTATGAGCACATTGGTTCGAATCGTGGTCACCCTGACAGTGAACCATCAACGCTTTCCGAGAAAAACTGCGCTGTGTGCCGCTTCTGTGATCGCGGGTATCTTGGACCTGGGTAAGTGATCCGATATGAATTGGGTACATCCCATAGTTTGATAATTAAGTTATCAATTTTAATTAAGTTATCAAATAAAGTTATAAATTTTACGTTCTGTAAAATTGATTGAATATCATTGGGGCGGTAATGTGAGCACCGTGAAAAAAGCGCAAATGCACGGCTCCGCGTTCTGCCGTTTCTAACTTTTTGCAGTGCAAGTTTCAGCTGTATAAATGCCTTTTAATCTGAATTATTACAACGAAAAGACTGAAATTATATGGAGTCAGCGAAAGAGAACGCGAATTTAGAGTGCAAACACGTAGAAAAAACGTTCTCACTGATTTCTTGCCAAGTGTTAACAAATTTCAGCTGAATATTAATAAGGCCAGCCAGTAAATTTGTTCATTGAAGTCAAGAAATTAAAAACTGCATATTATACCGAAAAACTGTTTGATGAATCACTGAACATAGCAGCAAAAGTTTGTTCAAGATAAGTCTCCGGTAACTGCATTCCTTAGCTGTAAGTATCACTCTTTCAAGCATTTGGCACCGATATGTAATCCACGGAGCTTATTTTTTCATTTACAATGCTTTCAACATCCAATTTATCAGCTTGCTAGACACAGTGGGTGCAAAATCTTTCCGACACAAAGGAAAAACTTCATTTTTTAATTAAAGCTTATTCAATAAAATAACAAACAAACACTATTCTAATGTAAACTTGCATGGGAAATACAAATATATCAAAACAACAATATCAGTAAATGTTGATTGATAATTGCAATTTTGCATAAGTTAAGGTTCGAAAAGTATCTAAAACATAGTGAACAAATCTACTCAATGCTTCGTCATGTGACCTTTAGCTGTTGAAACTGCTTTTAACCAATTGGAATACTTGTTCACAAGATTGACACACATGCTAATAGGAATTTTAATTCACTCTTCCTTGCATATTTCTTTCAATTGGATAAGATTTCTTGGATATTTCTCCTGTATCCATAGTTTCAATTCCCGCCACAGATATTAAATCGGATTGAGGTCAGGTGATTGGCTTGGCCATTCCAATAACTCAATGTCCCTCTTCTCAGACCACGTAAGAGTTGCCCTAGCCGTGTGCTTAGGGTCATTGTCTTATTGGAATATCCAATCTCGAGAAATGTTCAATTTTTCGGCTGACTTCACGAGACATCTCTCAAGAATGCCATAATACATTTCGGAGTTCATTCATCCTTTCATGATTTCCATTCCCCAGGGCCTGCAAAAGAGAAACAACCCCAAAACATTAGGCTGCCACCTCCAAACTTCACTGTTGGGACGGTATTCTTCGGGTGAAACGCAGAGTTCTTCAGTCTCCAAACACGGCTGACACAGTTCCGACCAAATAAATCAATAATCTCATCTGACCATAATATTTTATCCCAAAAGCTTGAAGGTTTACTCACGTTTTCTTTAGCAAAGTTCCTGCGGTTCTTTACGTGAATTTCTTTCAAGAGAGGTGTTTTTCTTGGTGACCGAGAATGGAATCCTTTCTCTCGAAGAACTGTCCTAATTGTATACATGCAAACAATAGTCCCACTTGATTGCAAGTTTTTTTGCAGTTCAGAGCAAGTCAGTCGAGGATTATTCTGTAATTTTCAAACTAAACTTCTAGCTGTACGGTCAGAAATTTTTGTAGGACGTCCTAAACGAGGCAGACTAGTCGAAAGATGGAATTAATGAATTCCACCTCCTTACAGTATCACCAACTGTCGCAATCGGGATATTTAGCACAGATAAAATTTTTCAATATCCCAAAACATCTTTGTGCAGCAGAACAATTGATTTTCTAGTTGATTGAGACAATTCTGCAGTTTTAGGTATTGTTGAAGAGCTCAAAATTAAGATCACCTTCTAATGACTATGCCAGGTAATGAATGACTGCAGTTGAAAGATGTCAATAACGTTCTTTTGAATTCTAGAATATTCCAACGTTTTCTGATTCTAGAATATTTCCCCGAACATAATGGATGAGAAGTTATTGGCGAATCAAATTCGTTTTTTACGATGTGTTGGATACTTTTTGAACCTTGACAAAATACCAATTATCAATTCAACATATAATGATATTGTTAATTTGATATGATATTTATATTTCCCATGTAAATTACATTAGCATAATGTTTGTTTGCGTTATTTTGTTGACTAAGCTTTATTAAGTTTAATTAAATAAAGTTTTTCATTTGTGTCGGATACTTTTTGAACCCGCTGTACGTAAAGACTAGAAAATCATTCATATACAGAAACTATGTGACCTAAACTCCAGAAACCCCCTCCACTCCCTCTGCTCCCGCCTCAATCACTTCTGTCCGAAATCGTACCCCGCCACCTTCCCCATCTTTTCTCTCATTCTATTCCCTGACCGCAACCTGGAGAAGGAGGGAGAAGGGATAGTCCTACCCCTCTCTCAACCCACTCTAACAGGATATTTAAATGCTCTTAAATATAAATAAATTAGGCCTGGTAAGGCACGCGCCTGTAGGATGTACCTCCAGAGCACGTGCAATTGGGGGGATAAATCAGTGAATTTTAGGTTTTTCACCTTCAGTTTTGTCACAAATTTTCGGCAGCTGGAAGCAAAAACCAATGTGGATGCAAAAATGGGGTAAACTGCCGAAACTATCACCTATTCCTATATTGGAGTATTATAAAAAGTGTAAATTGCAAAACTCAAAATTATCGGTTGCTGACATTAACATTACACGTAATCATTGCGTTGCTTGAGAAGGTCGTTGCTAGAAGGTTAGTGCAGGACATGGAGGAAGCTGTAACATACTTTAGAAAAACAAATTTTCCAGCGCATTCATTCAAGGCGGCCTCAATTAACATGACATGATATAAGAAGATTTCATCAATAATATAAGGCATTTATCTACCTTTGAACGTAGCTGATGATATTTTATACTTTGATCCCGGCAGGATTCAGTTTCTCTCTTGTGGATGAGTCAGCGTTGACAGGCCTGTGCGTCCTACACGGTTTAGGTATCGGTCTGTTCTTCAGTGTTTTCTATGCCAGCCTCATCGACATCGTTGGCCTTCCGCTTTATCCTGCCAGTCTTGCCGTCAATGCAATTTTCCTGGGCATTACCGACACTCTAATATCTCCAATTTTAGGTAAGTGTGCACTGCTACTGGAACGTAATTGTTCTACGCTATATTTTCTTCTAAGATATTCGAAATCTTGTGGTCCATTATAGATATTTTAATGTGTAAATATTCCATATATTGCTCCTTCTCATTTTTCCCAGTTGATATTTTGTATAAAAGATTAAGTAACTATTAATCTCATTTTAGCTACTATAAATACTGAAATAAATGGCTCCATAAATCGGAGAACTTTCTCTTATATTATTCATTATGTCTGCTAAAGAACTGATTTCCTGATAACTTTCCATCTTTGGCAGGGAAGCAATGTTCATTTCTATGAATAAAAAAATATAACTCAGTACTCACTGCAGTGAGTGACAGAGAGCACATTTTCTCGTCGACGAAAACTTGAGGTCACGGACGGACGGACAGACGGACGGACAGACAGACGGACATGGCGAGCACAATAGTGCATTTTTTCCATAAATGAGAAAATGCGCTAAAAAGATAAAATCCTCTTTGTCCCTGCTTAATTTTACGCCAGTCTCTGCTTAATTTACAGGTGTGATCCGAGACTTCAGCGGCTCTTACTCAGCGGTTCTGGGCACCTGCGCTGCGCTGAAAATGTGCTCCGCAATTTCACTCGTCATCCTCTTCATCAGGATGAAAGCCCGACAAAATTGAGTCGAAAATAGGATGCGTATTGAAACGTGCTTACTAAATAAATAACGATGGCGTTTGAACGCGAAACGCTCCAAGTAAAGTGGTTAAAATAATTATGTTCCTGTATATGGATTTAAGAGAATGGTTGAACTCGTCTTTCGTTTAAATATTTTTAATGCCTTCGTGGACAAGGTAAAAGTTAAGACTAGATTACTAATTTATTTGCTTCATAATTTTGTATTATCTTTGTAGCTGTATTTGAATTTCTATGCTCGATCTTCTCTGTGCGTTTTAAAAGCCTTTGTATGAACTTTATATACATGCAAATAAATACGCACTTTATATACATGTAAATAAATGCGAACAAATTCTCCAATGGACATTGATTATTATTCATCCATGCGCTCACACACTAAATTTGCGATACAGTTCTCACATACTGAGCGTCTCATAATATTAATAGATCTTTTCAATCTCTACAGGCTTGAAGAATATCAGCTTCAATGAAGCACACACATTTCCTCCTATAGTCGTTATTTAACAACTGAAAAAATACTAATTTAATTTGTGAACGTGCTCTGCATTCTGAATCATCCTGTTCATATAAACCTCTATCTTAGACGGAAGTGATTGGAATGCAGTTTTAAACACATTATAGCAAGTAGCACGTTGCAAAAAAAGATTTTTTTCTGCGTTTACATAACGTTGGGAAAAGGAGCGCAGTTGGCCAGAAATAAATCTTAGCAAAGGAAATAGTGTCTATGAGTGTTTTTTCCCTCCACCTGCAAGCAATTAAATGCTACGTCTTGAATCTGAAAATTCTGAATTTTTACACACTACTTTTATAAACATTTTTACCATAGTTGACCGGCGTAGCTAAATGCTGCTGTGTGGATCCTCTAGAGATTCATTCAGTTGTTGAGAAATATTAAGATGTAAGAGCGTAACAATTTTCCTCAAATTGATGATTGGCCGATTAATTTCCCTCAAATTAATCGTTTTAAAATAAATAAAGCCTGGAAATGTTGAACATGATAATATAATGTGCGGAACGTTTCTTAAAAAGTTTTCTGAATCCCCTTCATGCAAAACAGATCGACGATGAGTTTCCTTGAAAAGCTCTCAGAAGAGAACTCAAGATTCAATATTGATGGAATTTATTGACATGCCTAGCAACTGAACGAAGTATGAATTACATAAACAAAATATATCAACGCATATGGTGAATAATCGCATTTTTTTCAGCTCAAATCGGGAAACATAGTTTGCACCATTCTTTAGACTTTAGAAAACGCTATATTCAGTGTGAGTAGCGATTTGTTCTGATAATTGGTTATTCATGAAACAAATCATGCGAAAAGTAGGAGTATGAATAAAAATTGCATGTATTCATTTTATTTAAATATTGCACTTTTCACAGATCCTTGGCAAATCCTTGCATAAGGAAAGGTTTCCTCCAATCATATTATTGCACCGACACATTTTCTGGGTTTTCCTATCGAAGAACGAAAATCCCCATTCTATTGAGGATTTTCAGGAAATGGTTTTGTTTACTCTGTTGAGAAAACACTCTTATCGCTTTATTCTGTTTATGGTCTTGATGATTTTCTATTGAAGATCCTTATTTTCATTTGCTAAAAAAATACTACAATCCTCGTGCCTACAGAAGTTTGGGCAGAATTTTTCGACATCCGATATGATTGTCTGAGAAGGTTTGACGCTAATTTGAAATGGTCAGAAAATTTATTATAGCGAGAAGGCTGGATAAAATGCATCTCAGAAATTGATGGAATGTAAATATTTGCTTCCCTCCAGGTTTAGTTTAATGTCGGACAAATAATTTTCTTCCATAAAATAATAAAAAGAAGGTGGAAAGAGCCATTAGACTAGTATTTGAGCAAACAGCGAAAAAATAAATAAATTTGATCATTAAAATTTTGAAGCTCTAGCAGCAGCTAGCATTGGCATTCTTGATCCCAATATGGCATCTATGTGCCGATAGTTATAAATTGCTAAATTAAAATTCGAGGTCACAGTCTAAAATGAAATACTTATTGCAATTAAACTAATTTAGGTCTCTAATTACTAGTTTTTATGATTGTATCTGAAATTGTTAGGCGAAAATAGTCTGCATGCCGAATTTCAGATCTCAGAGCAATCAGAAGTGGGCTAATTTTCGTTGTCAATCTTAACAACTAACAAATCCACAAACAAACAAACGCGAAGCTAAGTTAAGAAAAACATGTTAATTAATTAAAAATAGGGTAACTGATTTTGAAAAATTTCTCAAGAGCTGTCGAACACCAGCGACAATTTTGTTGCTCTTCTTGCGAGGGCAATGCTTGGCTGAAGAGGCATCGTTTTGGCTCCAGTGCAATAATATGGCGAAGTGTAACGCTTTGGCCCATGGATATGCACTCTGACAGCAAGGACTATACAATGCTTGGAATGGAAATACTCTGGATGTAAACGCTGCAGCATTTCGAGGATTCTACAAGGTATTGAGGTCTTCAGCGCTTCTTGGCAAAATCGAAAATTTTGTATGCTCATATACGCCGTTTTAATTCCATCGCGTCTTTTACTTCGTCAACGGAGGGTTAAATTTTTGCCCATTCAATATACATATAGCCTGATTTATTATATGATTTGAAGTTACTGTTAACGGCGCAGTTATTGTTTAGTTGGGCTGATTACCGAAGTTCTGAATTAAAAGGTATCAAACAGTGTCTCATGTATTAGGTATCAAACAGTGTCTCATGTATTAGGTATCAAACAGTGTCTCATGTATTAGGTATCAAACAGTGTCTCATGTATTAGGTATCAAACAGTGTCTCTTGTATTAGGTATCAAACAGTGTCTCTTGTATTAGGTATCAAACAGTGTCTCATGTATCAGGTATCAAACAGTGTCTCTTGTATCAGGTATCAAACAGTGTCTCTTGTTTTAATGTCGTGACAAAGACTCGGCGAACAAGATTACTACGTAAATCAGCGATACTTTTATTTAGCCATGACTGCATGCCTAACTGCCTTGATTGCCATGCACCATTGCGCAGCCCTTAGTTCAGTTCCGATGACGAACATTCAACACGTGTTGTCTAACGTCAATGGAATGATATGCCATTAATTCTCACAATGAGCTATAAAGGTTTATTCAACTTGCTCGTGTTGAAATTATGATATCTTATTCAAGTTTTGCTTGCTCTGAATTGATGTCCTCATTTTTGGATTAAAAAAAGTCTATTCATTGTTGCTTTGGGATAACAAATTAGAACTGAAGATATGAAACAAGGCTTGATCTCAGTCTACCTTCCGCGGCTTACGAGAGAAATTATAATTCATTATATACTAAATTATTAGGCGCTTTATACCAGATACAAGAATATAAGGTTATATAATTGCCACGGGAAATTATGACGTGTGGTCAGACTTTCATTCAAGGTCATCGACGCAAAGCGCATTCATTTATTGAAAGAATTAAGAACAATATATGAAAAAATTGTATTTTCCTGGAAAGCAGAAGAAAACTGCAACCAATTATAATGTACGAATTCAGCTGGCAATTGGACGACTCACCACCGCTGCAGCACCTGAGTAAATCTTCATCCTCCTCTGAGTAACCAAGCTAATATTTGCGTCTCTGTGATGAATTCACCCAGAACCATCGATGTCTGTGTCTGGGGGATGTTTTACCGTCAGAAAAGCAAAAGTAAAAGGAAGCTAGACGTAACTAAATTCTAATTATGATTTTTTGTAGCAATTTTATTCGTATCTGCTTGAAAGAGTACATTTATCATTTTTTGTTTATATACTGTGTGTTCGCAAACTTTATCAGTTGAATTAGATTAATTTATCAATATTTTGGCGAAGAAAAACACTGCAAGAAAGAAAATATAAGATTGTAGCTGAAAAATGCGAGTTAATAATTTGTTCGTAATCAATTTAATTTCAAAAAAGAAATTATATTTTTTTCTTGGTCTTCTTTCATGAGCCAACTTCTTGGGGCAAGAAGTGACGCCTGGCAGCCTCTGATGTCCTCATGGCTTATTTTTCCGTCCGTCTAGTGGGACCAATTATAATTTTTGAGCATAAACTCGATGAGTAGAGACAAGATTAGCGTAGGAGGGGATGACAAGCAATTTTTTTCGATCAGCTTCTTCGGCATGAACATCAATGCAAAATAGTTTCAAAAGTTTTCAGGCAGCTTATAATCGGGAAACTTAAACCAGAATTTCGAAATTTACTGGCACATTTAGATTCCACGACATATATGAAAAATGCGTAACTAGAATATTTTCCAGCATTAGCTGAAATCAAAATTCAATTTCCAAGTTGTACCTGTGAGATAATTTTTTATCTTGTATGTTTGCACCCGACTAGAAAAATTGTCATACTCTGGACCTTGACTCAAACTTTTTTTCCCAGTTTACTTTTGTGTTGAAGCCTATATTCCTTCGCTACTTCATCGCGTATATTGGTTCAAGTTCGGAGGCATACAAAAACGAACGCTATATAGCGCAAAAGCAACAGACAATAATTTAATAGAGAAAAAGAGGCCAAATTTTTTCAATTGTGTGCTAGACTATCAAACATAATTGGCAAATATGCATCAAACCTAATAGTCATATTCAAGCGAAATAGCATTGGAAATAATCAATATTTAGTAGCGCTTCCAGTAATTAAATGATCCTGTAGCGCTCACAGTGGCGTCCCTACAGACTGACCTGAGACTCGAGCTCAGCGACTCCTCAATAAAAGGAAAAATAATGCCAAGTAACCGACGTATTACTTTACAAGTTGATTATCAATATAAAGATACGAACCTCAGTATTAACCCATGATTTGAACGAATACCCGCATTAAAATACCTGCAATCTTTTACTACCGGTATTACCTGCATTAAAAGATGATAATGCATACCCAGCTTCATCTTGTATGAATTCTGACATAATTTAATTATTTGCATGAAAATTGAGAATTTAAATTCGTGATAATTCCTTGATTATTCTATTGCGGACCTGCTTTCTAAAAACTAGGTAAATTTTAAACAAGAGCACATTATTAAATTTTTAGAATTAACAACTCTTGATTTGTTTCTCAGAAATTTCCATTGCTTTTCATCTCATAATACTTTCCCGCGATGGTTAATTGCCACGGTCGATGATAAGTCAAATCCATATCTATCAACTAATCATCCC